TCAAATCAATTCAAGGTAGGGAACGAGGGAACGGGGAGAAGGGAGGAGGGAGGAGGATGGTGTGCTGCCACTTAATGGGCACAATGTTAGGGTGTATGGCAACTCTTGGGTATGGAACACAATTATATGTTCCATTTTAAGTTACAAATGCAAACATTGTAACTTATTTCTCTGTGCCCTCAAATTAACCTGAAACAATAAAAATAAAACAAAACAAAAACAAAAATGGTTGTTCCTACAGCTAAATTTAGAAATAGTATGAACAACGGAGGAAGAAAAGACTAACTTGGGAAGATCAGATAAACGCACAAATGTTGAGAAACAGATAACTACTAGAGATGTTAAAAAAAAAAAAAAACGGGGCTGGGCACTGCAGTTCCTAATGCTCTGGAAGGCTGAAGCAGAAGGATCATTTGAGTTCAGAAGTTCCAAGACCAGCCTGAGCAAGAGCAAGACCCTGTCTCCACTAAAAACAGAAAAATTAGCTAGGTGTCATGGTGGGCTCTTGCAGTCCCAGCTACTCAGGAGATGAGGCAAGAGGATCACTTGAGCCTAAGAGTTTGAGGCTACAGTGAGCTATGACAACACCATGGCATTCTAGCCAGGAAACAGAGTGAGACTCTGTCTTTAAAAAATTAAAAAACAAACAAACAAATAAACAAAGCTGGAACCACACTTAGACATTTATGTTAGGAAGAAAGATAAAGATGAGGTCCCTGTTTTTCCAGTTGTGGGGAACAAGATGGCTGGTGGAATGGCAAAGTAAGAGAGGGTGGTGGCAACAAAGGAACATAAGGGCCTGGCACAGTGACTCACGCCTGTAATCCTAGCACTCTGGGAGGCTGAGGTGGGAGGATCATTTGAGGTTAGGAGTTCAAGACCAGCTTGAGCAAAAGTGAACCCTGTCTATTAAAAACAGAAAATCTGAGGCAAGAGTTTGAGGTATTGCTGTGAACTATGATGCCACAGCATTCTACCTAGGGGAACAGCTTCAGACTGCCTAAAAAAAAAAAAAAAAAAAAAGGAATATGAAAGTCATAAAAGGAAAGGAAAGAGTTGGTTGTGACCTTGAATTCATGAAGCCAGCAAGGCACGTCCATGGAGATGGCAACACAGAGCTGAAAATAAAGCTCAGCCATGGGAAGGAGCCAGCAAAGGCAATCACAAAGACAGACAGTAAATGATGACGCTTTAAAAAAGAAGACAGCTTCAAAGTAAGGAAAAAGCAACAGCATGAAGCCATGCTTAACCACCAAGGAGACTGAGCACTAAGAACTAAGAACTAAAGGAATCTATAGTTAGCAGGACCAAAGTCATTGGTGACCTTTAAAAACCAGACAGAATGAATGATAAGGCTACACAGGCACAAGTAAAACACTGTTTGATGGTAGAAATGACCAAGAGAATAGCAGTGATAGGTCACTGAGCCAAGCCAGTATCTGAGAGATGGGCCTGGCAAGGAAAGGAGGACATGGAGAGTCTGAAGACTTGGCCAGTGAAGGGCCACACTGGATGTTGGTGTGAAGAGAAAAAAAGCTCACCTCTTTGCATATGATCAGGCTATGATGTAAATGTCCAAAAGTTTTCTAAGAGTTATTTTAATTTTTTTTTTCTGAGACAGAGTCTCAAGCTATCACCCTGGGTAGAGGGCCATGGCGTCACAGCTCACAGTAATCTCAAACTCTTGGGTTTAAGCGATTCTTCTAAGAGTTATTTTAAAAGGGAGGAAACAGAACATACTTTGAATTTCTTCCTTTTTTAGAATTTTAGGAGTTGGCTCAGTGCCTGTGGCTCAAGTGGCTAAGGCACCGGCCACATACACCTAAGGTGGAGGGTTCGAATCCAGCTCAGCAACTCGGCGCCTGTGGCTCAAG